GGGATTATTAAAATAAGTAGCCTACTTTCAGTCCACCCGTGCTGATAATTCCCTCTTTCATCCCTTTTAATACCGTTCCCATTGCAGTTTTACTGGTTACCATGACAACCCCTCTAAAACCCAGTTGCCAACCTGGTTTCTTTCCATTCTTTGTTTCATTTCATTGCATTTGATGCGTTTTTTTTTCCCCTAAATCCTCATTTATTTGCACTAATTTGGTCAAATCTTCTCCGACAGTGGACGTGCCAGCTGTTATGTTCACTCTGTTACTGGTCTGTGGTTTAACGTGCAGGACGTCAGACGGTCGCTTGTTTTACCTGCACTCTGAGGTCCCCGCTCTCTGATTGGCTGCGTCAGTTATTGACTAGTGGCCGCGCTCCACCTCTGGGAGAACAGATGCTCGGTAATTATCCGTCATCTTTAAGGCGTCATGAGAAGACGTGCGTGGATCTGGATCAGATCCAGGAACTTCTTTTAACTTTCTGTTCCACTGAGACGGGGCGTACGCAGTATATAAACATTTAATGAATCATTTTTGTATATTATTATTTTAAACCCACTGTAAAGTCGATATAAACAGGGACCTCAGTACAATCTTCTCATTTCTTTTATAATTAGCAGCTTTATGTAAAATCTCCTTCACTCACAGAGGCAGGTGGGTTTAGGTGCATCCCACTTCCCCAGCTTAGTGCAGTGGCTGATGTTTCTGCCCTCCAGGATGAAGCCGGCGTGGCAGCTGTAATGCAGCACCGTCCCTTCTACCGGCGGCCCCGGAGGTCGCGGCGTCACCCGGCCGTTCTCCAGGGACGTCCACACTCTCGGGCACAGCAGCACTGGAGACGAGAGGGAGACGGAGAGAGTTAGAGACAGATGCAATAACTGAGGGAATTAAGATGCAGTTGAGGTCAACAATCTTTTGGGGGAAGAGAAAAATGTTTTTTCGAGAAAAGGACCAGAAATGAGCTACGAATAACAAAGTAACTTTAAAGAAGTGTTTATTGGTTCTTTTGGCCACTTGGGGGCAGTAACACACACAACGCTGATATGAAGTTGGAACACGTTAGCAAACGTTTACCTGTTTAAATGTCGAGTAGCCACAGAGCCTTGGCTTTTGTTTACACTCAGTTAATGCACGCTGCAGCTGAAGACGGGGCAGGACTGGGGCGGCTGTGGGTCAGGAGGTAGAGCAGGTTGTACGCTAAACGGAAGGTCGGTGGTTTGATTCCTGACTCCCCCAGTCTGACAAGATGCTAAACCCCACATTGCCCCTGACGGCTGTGCGGGCAGTGTGTGAAAGGGTTGTGTGCTGGTTATAGTGGAGATGTGTGAATGGGTGAAGGTGAATAAGCCTAACCCCATTCTGTAGTCTGAAGCTGGAGAACCTGCACAAATCCGCCTTCAGATAAAAATAGACAAAGACTCCAAGTCCAGAAAGTGAAGCCACTGTGAAAGCACCTAAAACCTGTATTCTCTCGAATGACCAGCAGAGGGCGAACCAGGATTCGAACTGGGGCCGTGCTAACCACTGTACCGCTGTGCCACCCCCTTTCCAGCCATGCATAGTTGACATTTTAAACATTAACTTACTTTAATCAGAATGAAAATAAAAACAAGGGAGACACAAGTTAATATGAATAAATTCCATGAAGTCTCTAAATATGTAACAGGAGCCATTAGTGCTGATCACCTGTGAGAGATAAATGAGGCCAAAGCTTGGACTTGGTTTGATTCCCTGACAAAACGCAGAGACCTTGAATCTAATTCTGTTTATCTGCAGAGTTTGTTGAATCTTCCTTCCAGCAAACGAGTGCACATACACGCACACACGCACGCACACACACACACACACACACACACTGCAGCCTGCTCACTTACATAAGCCAGAGAAAACAAAAATCCTGCTTTGGAGAAACTCTGGGGAAATCTAAATTCCACTGATGTTAAATAGGGACCGAGCGAACAAAAACAGAGATATAGCAGAGTTCTGATTAGATCACTGGTCTTATTCTCTGGTATTTGCAGAGGCAGTGGTGATGTGATCCGGGTAGAAATTACATCTAAGCTTCAGAGTGAAAATTGGCTTTGGGAGGAAAGTTTGCAGACAAAAATAAAGATTTAGACCCTGAAGAAGCAACGAAACATCCTGAATACGATAAAAGGAAAATAATAAATCATTTTATGATATAATAAAAAGTCATAACATCCGGTCTGTGGGTGTCACGCTTCTTTATTCTCTAACCATGTCCTAAATGTAAAATCTCTGAAGCGACTCCCAATGAACATCTGGGGGATCCCCTGCTGTGTTCACACTTCTCCTGGATTTCTAGGGACTTCGTACCGTGAGGCCAGGCGGATAAAGTGCAAAGTCTCAATCTGACACATGCACCTCCTCCCGAGAAAAAAATGGAGGAACTGCCGAGTCCAGTACACGTCTGATAGCAGCTCTACTGACCCTCTGGAGAACGTCAGGTGTGATACAGACAAAAAGCTGAAATCAACAGTGTTCAGCAAACGGACAAATCCATTCATAGATCAGAATTCAACGAAATCTGTTCGGGGGAAAATGCACAATATTACAGAGATTGAAACAGAATCCTGCATCCACCCAGAGATCCAGATCCATTCCAAAACTGAACCGGTTGTTTGTCGTTCTACCAAGTTTCATGGAAATCTATTGAGTGGTTTGTGTTTTTACCAACCAAAACAAAGAAACCATTCGTCCACTAAACCAGCGGTCAGGAGCTAAAACATAAAATAAGGTCTGAAGCTGCTTCATTAGAAAAACTTTAACATCAACCGACCGTGTGAAATTATTCACAGTCATGAACCTCGACCGTCAGCGCTCCCGTCAGTCCTGCAGATCTTAACTGTTCGCCTCTCTCACAGCATCACATTGTGCTGCAGCAGGCAGGTGGCTTCAACCAGAAAAAAAAACTTCAGATCAGCGCCTGTGCTCTACCTGCTCGCCACCAACAAGCCAACACACACACACACACACACACACACACACACACAAACACACACAAACACACACACAGTCGCAGACCAGCTGGTGAAGCAAGTGGAGCGTTTATCTGCCAAAGAGCCAGAGATTTCCCTCAGGAGCTGCCAGGGCCCAGGAACACAGTTGAAGGGAGGATTATTGGACAGCACGTCCACCACGTCCACCGTCCAACAGTCACCGAGCTGCAGAATCACTGGACGTGTAAATAAGTGTCCTCAGCATCAGGGGGATAATGTTGCTCCTGGAGACCGTATGTAAAGATGGACGACCTGACGACTCCCCACAAGTGAAGCCAAATCGTGTCCATCGCCCCCTGGTGGTGGGTTGCAGTGCACGTTATGAATCCTGCCTCCTCCATGTTAGCGGATAGGACTTGGACGTCATTTTAGCATCACACTGATGTATGTTTGAGAGTATTTTATTCTCTGGTAGTAGTAGTTTGGTTTTGATTAGTTATTTGCTGCTATAGAAACACGGTGAAACGTCATGATTGACAGCTGAGACTGACTCGTGCTTGGTCTCCATCCTGCGATGGCCACTGCACAGACTCTAGGGGGAGCTGTGGCTCAGGAGGTAGACCGGGTCATCGACTGTGTGTGTGTCCTAGAGTGATATACAGAACGCAAGATTTCCCCTGATGGTTGTGAGTGATGTTTAATTGAGGAAGTGTCGCACATGTGTGAACGGGTGAATAAAGGGCTTTGAGTAAACCTAAACCAAAAAAGCATTTTATAAATACAGACCATTTACTCTGGTTCCAAATGTGCAAGTTGGCAGCGTTAAAATCCAGAATATTTTAATTTAATATCTGTAAAGTGGGAGGAAGTGGAGACGTCTTTATTTATGGTTCCTTCAAATTAGCCCCAAAACCAGGTTGTTTTAAAAAAGGTGCAAAGAACCAGAACAATAAAATTTCTGTTTTGAATTCTTCCGAGCTCGACTAACAGTTGCATCACTTTTCTTTAGTGTGGATTTTCATAAGTAGCCGCGGAGAATGAAAATTACTCCAATCCTCGACTTCAGAAAATAAAAAAAAAAAAGGTTGCAGGGTATTTCACAGTTTCTTCTGTGCGAAGTGCAAACGGGGGGAAGTCAGTGACAGGCTGTCAAAACAACTGAGGTTTTATTTTTGTTTAATTGTGGCTTAAGTTTGAAACGTGGGACGTGTTTGAAATGATTACACCACAGAAGATTTGTCAGGGAAAATAAAAAAATGTGAGGCGATAAAACAGGAGAGGATGACGGGATAAAAAAAAAGAGGGGGATGAGAGGAGGAGGGGACTTACAGCAACTGCTGTGCTGGGTAATGTCCGTCCATGTGCCGTTGGGCAAGCACTTCCTGACCTTGGGCCCCACGATCACACGGTTTCCTCGGCAAATGTACTCGATCTCATAATCCACGGGGAGGATCTGCACGCTGCGGATCTGTGACGAACAAGCGGGAGAGGAGAGACGACAATTAAGGAGTGATTGATGCTCTCTCAAACCGGTTATTATAATTCACACAGGGACCCTCTTCATTCTGTCTCCGAGCTGCGGCGTCTTGTGCCATATGGCGGCGACAATAACGCTCCACTTGGAACAATTCACGGCAATATTGTCTGAATTGATGGGCTGTCACACTCTGGATTCCACCTCCTCTCTGGTTGATACAGGAGATAGGATGGACTGCTCAGGGTTTATGTGTCACGTTGGTGTCGAGGTGTGAGTCTGTGTCGTGTGTGTGTGTTTTAAACACGTGTGTGTGTTTTAAACACGTGTCAAACATTTGAACGGCTCGGTTACAGAGAATTTTGGTCTTTCACTTTCCAACCACAGTTTTGCTGCAGTGTGGAATGAAGAAGCTTTAAAGTCAGAATCAACTCAGAAAATCTATTGATTCCCTCTCGTGAATGTTTGACCTTCGCTGTACAAATGTGCAGAGTTTGATGATAGAAGCCATGTGATGCAGAGTGTTGGTGGACGTACAGAGTGTGGAACTAATGTACAAATACTAAGATGATTGTACATCTGGCTACGCTCGACTGTAGTGACATGTTTGAGTCCACAGGTGAGCTGCTGCGTAGTAACTTCTCTGTACCTGTTCTTGTGTCAGGCCTCTGTAGCGGATCCCCCCGTCCCTGGGAGGCCGGATGATGGCACAGCCTGAAGAAGACAAAAACAAGGGGGAGGAACGATGGAGAACGTGGGACGAGAAGAGAAGAAAAGATCTGTGTCCAGATTTGTGACAGCAACGTGATATATCCCACTTTCTGAACAGCTCTGGTTCTGGAAGTACTTTTTTTATTTGTTCTCTCTGTCGACATTTCTGCTGACCGACCTGCAGCTCCGAGATGAATCGTGACCGTAAGACATCACAAGACTGCGTATAGAATTATTTTTAGAGGGAAGGAACTACGCATCCCATAAACCATTGCAAATGATCCCTTTCCAACATCTTCCAGCGCACTTCTCCTTGAATCTGACTTTGTACCGATCATAGCATAACATGATTTTCACCAATCAGAGACGTCACTATTAAGCCTGAGGATTGTGGGTAGTGAAGAATTTCTCATTGATAACACAAATAAAACACAGCTGGAGCATATAGCATCTTTTCTCCTAGCTTGTGGGATATCTACAGAGGATGGTTAAAACATTACGGCTGGATTTTACCTCAGGCACCAAACTGGTGAGCTCTATTTAACCGACATTTTCTGTACTGCACAAATTACAGAGCTTCATTCGGGTCACTTAGCAAATCTCTGCGGAGATACTTGTGTCCATTAATGCATATTGTAAACAGACACGCACAGCAAACACACACACTCACACACACACGAATTACCTCCAGTTGATGAATTATGTATGGGCACAACACGAGACGGAAGAGCAAAGAGAATAATCAGAAACAATAGCCGCGCCATCTCTGGATCTGAAAGAGAAAGAAGAGAGAGGTTTTCACTGACACGTCAAAGGGAAGTGAAGGTTCTGCAGGACGACAGAGACGAGAAGTCACAGAACATCGTCCTACAGTATTAATGCTACACCCTACGTCCTTGGACACAGTCATTTTTGTTTCACGGCCGTCCTTCTAAAAAAGAGATGCATCAACTTCTTGGCTTTAAAAAAAAAAATAAAACAACCTCCCTTATCAACCTGCCTGGCTGAGCACAGAGAGGACGAGCTGTGAGACGAGTCCACTTCTCTGCTGCTGTTTGTGTTTCCAGTGCGGCTCCCGTTTCAAAAGGGCCTCGTGTACGCGGGGGTCTCGGCTCCGATAGTGATGGTTTTGAAAAGTGGCTGCTCACAGAATCATTTCACACAGAGTCAAATGATGTTTTCTTCATGTCAAGGTAAAACAGCTCATGTTGACCGTTTGACACAAAATCTTTCCATTGAAAGGCGGAAAAAAAAAAAAGAAAGGTGCTTTTAGATGTGTTGACTGTACAAGGTGAAATAACTCATCCAGCCTCACAGGCGGGGAACCTGTGGGATAAACTGATGGAGCTCTGTAACCTCGTCAGACTCACCAGGGACGTTTCAACCGAGAGGAACAAAAGTAGAGCGGCACTCAGAGAGAAGTCCACCAAGGCCCAACAGACGTTACAGTCTCATGGATATTAGTTCTCTAAATACGTCTGAGAACTTTGTGAATGTGCATCTCTCAATGTTAAAGAAAGAGAAAATAAAAACTCCTGGATCCACCATTTTGTCCAGATCTAGGGCCCAAGTTTCTGGGTTCTGTCCCGGCCCATGTGCCGTCCTTCCACCAGATACAAACGCCGCCATCTTGTGCATTTGAAGCCAGAGTCTGGACAGTAGCGAACAGGAAAAGAGTCGTAGTATCAAGGTTCTGTCGAAACACGTGCTCGACCAATCGTGACTCTAGATTACGATGGGCGGCATGGCAGCGGAGAAAAAGTGAAGCCAAAGGCATCTCTACCGCCACCTCATGGCTGGCTGCAGTATAGGTTATAAACCCTGCTTCCTCTATGTCAATGGATGTGTATCAGCAGGACCTCAATTCCGTGGCTCCACCCCCTGATCACTAACGGGCTAACTCAAAATGGCACAAGATGGCGGCGTTCGTATCGGGGATATTTAGGTTTCATTTCTGGAGAGTGGGACGAAGTACAGGCCGGTCGTCCATCTTTTTTTTTTTTTACAAACGATTCGCAAACCAAAGTACTGGACACTTTGGACCTGATGGTGGAACTAGATTTTAAGATAAATGAAATTCATCCTGATAGTAACAGAAATAAAAATATCAACCTCAAGGTGGCGCTAAAGGGAAAGTCAGGGGATGAGTGAAGTTTGCAGGATTCATCTGAACCAAGCAGCTGACAAACCAACAGCACCGTCCCTGGAACTGAGGGTTGGGAACATTTAATCCATCAATCAAAACAATAAGCAGCAGATCGAGAGGCCTTCATTACCCACAGTGCAACTCGACCACCGACTGTCCCCTCAGAGGTTTGGGTGTGTTATACTGACGACCAGGCTACACCCACCACCACACTCCATGCACCCCCCCCCCCCCCCCCCCCCCCCCCGCACCTCTCCAGCTGCAGAGAAACTGGGATGTGAGTAAATTTACAATTACACAACGAGGGTGTTGTGGTAACGAGTCAGAAGTCAAAAGACCCTC